CCCCTTCATGCTTTTTGCTACCTACACCGATTACCATTGTGGCGGAACATTGAATGACGTATTCGGTCAATAATTTGTCAATAATCTACACAAAAAAGTACTAAAAAGACTATTGGTACGCTAAAAAGTGGGCAAAATACTGAGGTTAAACCATTTCCCCTTCTTAATTCTCCTTTTCCATTATCTTTTTTTTCCTCATCTGCTTCTTATTCTGCCTTCCTACCGCTTCATTTTCAGCTCAACGATGGTGTTGAGGCTCCGCAGGCGGACGGCTCCCAGGCGCCTGGAGGCCCAGGACACCTGGGTCCTGGCGGTGGAAGCGCCCGTAAGGCTATCCTTGAGGCAGTCAACCGGGTTGGTGAGGCAAGTCATGATCTTCTGCGCTATGTAATGCAGGAAGAGAGCAGTGGCGTCACGGAAGAAGAGGCCATGGCACTCAGCCATGCTGTAAGGCCACTCAGCGTCACTCGTGAGGGACCCCCGAACGAATGGGCTGCTGGGCGGTACCGGGGACTGGCTGAAGAAGACCAGCTCTATCAGGTGAGGCTCGGAATTCCTCGACTTGCCGATAGTGCCGCCGATCAACAGTCATTCCTCCTACCTACTCCGATTTCCATATATTTTCATCTCCATTCACTTAACTATCCAACTTTATTCTACTCATCTATTAACTTGATCCTTTTTTTACTTATAAGCTATGATTTCTGCTCAACTCGTGCTAATTTCCGCTGTTTTTTCGCATATACAGGTCCTACAATCCTCGCGGTGTCAGGGCGACTTAGATGAAATCATTTTATCCGGAGTTCTATGTAATAGTAGCCATGATATTTTTCTAGCTTCCATTGTCAGATGCTGTAAATTATCATGACTACCATGGAAAATGACTCTGGACAAGGTGCGTTCATCTAGTTCACATTGATAGCACGATGAAGTTGCGAAAACGAAGCCTATCAACTTAGTCCTTATGATTTCGTAATAAGTAAAATGAACTGGAGTATTAAATCATCCTGAAGATACCTTTTGTTTAGAGCCTTGCTATAGGTTATTACCAAAGCTTGTGGCGATAGGGAGTTTCTGGATAGAATTTCATGGCAACATATGATTTACTCTTAGTGATACCCAGACTCCCACCTTAAAATAATTTGAAATATGCTGCAGTTTGTCGCTTTCTAGCTTCTATTTTAAATTGGTCTCTCAAAGTATCAAGACC